GTGCCCTGCTGCGTGGACAGACACACAACTGCTAAATGTACCAGATGTCTCCCTTGTCATCAGGTTGTGTTATGTGGCAACAGTGAAGGGATGTTTCCAGATGTAATTAAGGTCTCTAATCAGTCAGAATGGTGGTACATACCTGTAATCCCAGCACTCTGGGAAGCTGAAGCAGGAGGATCTCAAGTTTGAGCTCAGCCTAGGCAACTTAGCAAGAGCCTGTCTCAAAAATAAATAAATAAATAAATAAAAGAGAGGGGGGCTGAGGAGTTGTCTTTGAGTTAAACATCAAAAGGCAGATGGGGCAGAGTGTGATGGTACACATCTATAATCCCAGCAATTTGGGAGGCTGAGGCTGGCAGATGGCTTGAGCACAGGAGTTAAAGGCCAGCGTGGGCAGCATAAGAGCCTGCCTTTCAAAACCAAACCAAACCAAAAAGGAGAGTGTGGGGAGATGAGCCAGGAGGGCCTGACTCTGCCAGTGAGCCTTAGAGTGGAAGTAACAGAGATGCTTCTCTGGCTGCTGAAGAAGCAAATAGCCTCAAGTTCCATCCACAGCTTTGGAGAAATAACTTCTGCCCATAGCCATGCAAGCTTGGAAGAGGACCCTGTACCATGACTACAACCTGAGAGACCCTGGGCTGAGGACCCCCTTCAGCCCTCCCAGACCCCTGGGTCACCAAAGTGTGAGACAATAAATAGCCATTTTAATCCATCAAGTGTGTGGTGATGTTTTGGGCAGCAAAGTGTGTCCCAAAGAGGACAAGCTGTGTGCTGTGAAGTTGGCAAGGATAGGGCTCTTGTAGGCCAAGGGCTTTGAGGGGTTCAGGGGGATCCTGGTGGGAGTCTTCTCAGCCCAAAGCGGACCCTGAAGGCAGGCGAGCATCCTGGCCAGGCCCTGTCCCTTGCCTGGGACTTCAGACTGGGGACAGGCTATGGATGGTCTCCTCCTCAGGGAGCTGGAAGCCTTCTATTGGAGTGGGTGGAGGCGGCATCGGGACCAGCAGCAGGTGGTCTGAGGTCTGTGGGACACTGCCCAGTTGTCTCCAGAGGCCTCCTGGGATACATCTGGCTTCTGGTCCCTGAGCAAGGTAGTCATTTCTGATATGGAACCAGGCGGAGGTGTCCTGGGGCAGGTGCTATGTGATACGATATGCATTTGAAAAAGCTCCTTGTTCTCAGCTATCATGGGGCCCACTGGAGGTGGGGGTGCATGTAGGGGCTGCTACAGTCACTGGTGTGAGTGGCCGGGGCCCAGCTGAGTTGGGGGCCAAAGGATGGGAACCTCTATTAATACAGGGACCCACTAAAGGGTGTTCTTTATGATGCCTTACTCAGATTCTCCAAATCCTCTCAGCACTTGATCCCAGAGGAAGGAGCCTCCTTTGGCCAATTAACACTCAGGGAGACTGGGGATTTAGCTCAGTGGTTCCATCGCCTGCCTTGAAAGCACAAGGTCCCGAGTTTGATCCCTGGTACAAAAAAAAAAGCCAAAAACTTCAACTATCCTTATACAACTTAGAAAATGTTACATTAATCCAAAGTAGCAAGTCTTATTGGAGTATTTATGTTTGTTTTCTCAGTACTTTTTTTTTTTTAAAGTTTAAAAGTGTAATTAAACCTATATTTTGTGATTGATTTTGGTCTGTGCTTTGAAATTCTTTCCCTTCTCTTTTTCTCAATTTCATAAATGAAGATATGTTTAGATACTGAATTTGTTTAGACATTGAATGATAGTGATATAGGCACAATTGATCATAGTGGTTGTACTTTGAAGACAGACTTTTAAAAATAAACAATTTAAAGCAAACAAACAAAGTTTGAGTTCCTTGTCCACATTTTTGCTATTCCTTGGGAATGTTTTTTTCTTTTGGTACCAGGAATCGAACTCAGGACCTTGTGCTTGCTAGGCAGGTGTGCAGCCACTGAGCTTGGGAATTACTTAAGGACAGTTTCACTGTGTTGCCCAGGCTAGCCTTGAATTCCTGTGCACAAGCAATCCTTCTGTCTCAGCCTCTTGAGTAGCTGGGACTACAGGCATATTCCACCATGCTAGCTAATTTTTATTTTTAATTCATGAGATTGTTGTGCTCACTTCAGCAGCACATATACTAAAATTCATGAGACTTTTTTTTTTTTGTACTGGGGATCGAACTCAGGACCTTGCACTTGATGAGACTGTTTTTGCAGTCATGACAAGAGCACAGAGACACATGCCAGTGCCCCATGGTGCAGATATAATATTTTTTACTTTTTCTGCAGTACTGGGGATTGAGCCTTGGAGTTCCCACATGCTAGGCAAGAGCTCTACAAATGAGCTACATCCTCATCCCTTTTGTTTTTGTTTTATTTGGATTTTGGTTTTGTTTTGAGGCAGGGTCTCACTATGTAGACCAGGCTGGCCTTGAACTCACTATGTATATCAGGAAGAACTCAAACTCGTAATCCTCCTGCCTCACCTCCCCAGTGCTGCGATTACAAGTGTCATTGGACCTGGATCCTTTTTTTTTTTTTTTTTTTGGTACCGGGGATTGAACTCAGGACCTTGAGCTTGCAAGGCAGGCGCTGGAACCACTGAGCTAAATCCCTGGCCCTATTATTTAAAAAAATTAATTTATTAAGCTGGGCATGGTGATGCACACCTGTAATCTCAGCAGTCAGAAGGCTGAGGCAGGGGAAATGCCATGAATTTGAGATCAGCCTGGGCTACACTGCGAGGTCAAAGACAGCATGAACTACATAGTGAGACTCTATCTCAGAAAACCAACCAACTAGGGGCCAAGGATTTAGCTCAGTGGTTCCACCGCCTGCCTCGTATTTAAGTGCAAGGTTCCAAGTTTGATCCCCAGTACCAAAAAAAAAACCCCAACCAAATGAACAAAAAATAAATAAGGGGAAAGCCAAAAAACGTATACACATTTTTTTTTTCTTGGTACTGGGGATCGAACTCAGGACCTTGTGCTTGTAAGGCAGGCAGTGGCCAAATGTATACTCATTTTAGGAAAATAAAAATAGTATATTTTTTCAACAGATGGTGTTACCCTCGTACGGGGGACCCTAGAGGATGTTGTGTATCACAGAAAACCCACTACTCTGCCGGCCCTTAGAGAAGAAACTGAAAATGCATGTGCAGTAATCTCAACGACCAAGGTTACCCAAGCAGCTCATGGCCACCACTTTAAGCATCTCTTGTAATTGTAGGGGCCAAAGGTAACTTGAATTAATCTCATGATGTTTCAGTAAATTTAGTACTAAAATATTTATACACATTTTTCTTTTCCTGAAATGTGTATACATTTTTTTGGCGGACTCTATCATTAATTTGGCAGGACTGGGGAATGAATCAAGGAGTGCTCTACAACTGAACTACATCCCCCCCACCGCCCTTTTTGAGACAGGGTTTTGCTAAATTGCCGACTTGAACCTGTGAGCCTCAAGCCTTAGCTTCTCAATTAGCTGGGATTATGGCATTGGCAATAACATCTGGCTTAAAATGGGGTGTTTGGGGGGAATCTCTTGGCAGAGCACGGACAGGGAAGCAGAGGGGGGCTGATCCACAGCAGCATCTAGGAGACTGTTGGTGCGTTTTGTTCTGTGACAGGACAGGTCTGGGGACGTCTCCCTGCCCTTGAATCACAGACGTATAGTTGTGAGTGGCCAAGTGGATCTGGAACAGAGCTGGGTGGCCTGCAAAGTTGTCCAGGGAAACAGCTGTATTGGCACCCACATCCATCTGGGAGTCCTCAATCCGAGCACTGTGGGTGTCCACCTGTCTACACACTTACACGGGCCATTGTCAGCAACATGTGTCCTAAAAATCAGAGATGCTCTCCTCATGCCCACTTTCGGGTGCCCAGACCCTAACCAAGGTGTGGAGGACTGTGACATGTGAATAGGGAAGACACCAGTCAGATCTACGGAGCCCCAAGGTGCAGGCTGCAGAAGCAGCAGATGGCACGGGCTGGGATGGAGCTTCCTATCTGCGGAGGGACTGACTGGAGGTGCAGTGTGGTGGCAGAAGCAGCTGTCCTTTGAGTGCAAGTGCCTTCTCTGGCTGTGGTGCCAGAGGAGGGTGTGGTGTGCGGAGGGAGTCAGGTGGGGTGCTGTCATAGCCCATCTCTTCGTTCAGCCTCCGGTGGGGGTGCCTCATGGTCAAATGCAGCTGTTTTGAGTGTCCACTGCCAAGGGTCGGCAGTGCTGGGGTGATTGGCAGACAGCAGCGGCATTGGTTGGGAGGTTCCTATCAAATCACTAAGCCCTCTTCCTATTTCTGGTACTGGCAATTTAACCCAATTGAACAGGGCCTTGCCTCAAGTCTACATATCCAGCTCTTGTTTTAATTTTTTTCTTTTTTTTTTTGGTACCAGGGATCGAACTCGGGACCTTGCACTTGAGAGGCAGGTGGCGGAACCACTGAGCTAAATCCCCGGCCCTTAATTTTTATTTTCAGACAAGGTCTCACCAAGTCACTAAGTTGCCCAGGTTGGGCTTGAACTTGGGATCCTCCTCCCTCAGCCTCCCAGAGTGTATTACAGGCATGCACCACCACACCTAGCTTAGACCACCTTCTTGACTAATGGCAGGGAAGGTGGTAGTCAGGGTTGGGTCATGCGCCAGAATGACAAATGGTGATTTAGCTGTCCAGAAGGTAGTGGTGTGTATGGGGTGACACTGATCAGTTGGGTACCACTCCTACTTCAAGCTTTTCCAGGCTTCTGCAAGCAAGTTCATGGAAGGCAGTGGCAGCAGACTCAAGCGTCTACCAGCAACATGACCTGCTCCATCAGAGCCCGGGGAGCCCATGGTGCTGCCTCGCCACAAGACCTCTCAGCATCCTTTCTTGAGGTCCCCACTCCAGGCCCCCTAACCCTTCTGCCCAGGGAACTGCCCAACCAAACCCATGACTTCCCAAACACATGGTCCTGAGACTCAAGGATCTGTGGCTTCGTGGTGGCCAGCTGTTGTCACAGACGGGATGTAGACACACAACAGGCCTGCAGTGAGATGGAAAACAGGGTTTATTGGAGGAAGCAGATGAGCAGAGGGCCAGGGGGCACAAGCTGTCACTATTCAACAGACGACAGTTCTGTGGCCAGATTGCCAAGGAGAGGGGACCCTGCCTCTGTACCACATGCTCCCTTCATTATTACAGCGTGGGGAAAGCCTTGGCATGCAGGAGGCTCTGCAGTTCCTGGCAGGTGTCTCTGTGCCCCAGAGGATAGCTCACCCAGACTACCTTGGCAGGTGCTCTGCTAAGCTCCCCAGCGGAAGGAGGACTGCACCTCACTGCCACCTGTCTAACTCTCCACCTTCGTGGTGTGGGTAAATGCAGGTGACCAGAGGGGCACTGGGCAGCCCAGGTGTCTGTCCCGTGCTGGCTGCCACTGCTGGGACAGACGCCTGCCATGGGAATTGTGCATCCGGGCTGACATATCCAACAGGGGCCTGCTCCACTGTGCTTGGGGCTGGCTGCAACCAGTGGGCAGTGGGCAGCAGACGGCTAAAACCCAGGAAGTGCCATCCCTTACTCATCAGGAAGAGACTCATGTGGCTTGTGCCCATCTTCGACGGGTGCTCAGTGGAAGGGGTGAAGCCCCCTGCCTGCTCTGGCACAGGTGACAGTGAACCTGGCTCACACAGGACCACACCCTGCTACAAAGTCCTTGCAAAGTTTGAGCTCTGAAATGGGCTGGGTGCTTGTGGCTCTCGCCAGCCCACAGATGCTCCTTCCAGAGTATTCCATGCCCTGCACTGCCCCTCCCTGCCCGCCATGTGCCACCAGCTCTGGGTGCTATTTTTGCTGACACAGGGACACTGTCCAAGCACAAGAGACCTGTGAGGAAACAGCCATCGATACTTGGGAAGAATGAAAGAACTTGTCAAGCATCTCTAGATGGATGGAAAATGCCTACGTGGACGGGAAGCATCTGGGACACCAGCCAATGGCCTTCTGCTGCCCGCATGGAGACATCTCACTGGGCCCCACAGTCTGGCCTGGTCTTCTTGACGTTCCTGATTGCAAGGGAACACATATGATTACAAAGACTCAACATGGTAGAAACAGATGATAAAAAAAAGATACAGACTCCTGGAATCCTTTTTCCTAAAGATAACCACCAGCTAATCATCTTTATACACACACACCAATTTTTTAAATCCAGGGCCTTGTGCACTCTAGGCAAGTACTCTCTCACTGAGTCCACTCCCAGCCTGAGTCCAGGCTTTTTTTTTTTTTTTTGCAGTGGTAGAGATAAAACCCAGGGCCTTTGTACTGAGCTACATCCCCAGCCATTAGACAATTTTTATTTTGAAAGCCAGGAATAATGGTGTACACTTGTAATCCCAGTACTCTGGAGGTCTAAGGCAGGAGGATCACAAATTCAAGCCAGTTAGGGCAATTTAGCAATTTAATGAGAACCTGTCTCAAAATAAACAAACAAATAAAAAGGCTCCCTGTCTTTTAAAAAATGAGCTGGGGATACAGCTCAGTAGTAGACCATCCAAGGGTTTGATCCTCCAGCACTGACAAAATAAACATTAAAAACTATTTTTTTATAAATAGGATCTTATTACCAAGTTGCTCAGGCTCACCTCAAAATTGCACTCCTCCTGCCTCAGCCTTCAGAGTAACTGGGATTCCAGGCATGAGATACCACACCCAGCTGAATTCAAGCTTTTATTGGGGAACAGCATGCCTGAATGACTGGCAGCTGTCACTGAAATTCTAGAATCTCAGAAGAAAAGCAGTGTTCAGCAAACTCCCAGATGAGTGAGCAAGTGCTATCATCTGGGGACGGCACTGTATCATGGAGGGAAGCGTTTCCGAGACAGGCTCCCGGATGCCAGTGAGCCCCTGCTTGAGCATGCATGTGTCACACTGATTGGGCTTGGGATGTTAAGCCAATCTTGCACTCCTGAGATAATCTCAGTCGGTCCTCTTGTATAATCCTTCTTTATATGCTGGATTCTGTTTGCCGGTTGAGGACTTTTATGTCTACATTCCTAAGTATGTTGGTCTGTACCTTTCTTTTCTTGTGATGCCTTTGCTTGGTTTTGGTAATACTGGCCTTAGACAATGAGTTGGGAAGTTCTCGCCTCTTGTTGGAAAGAATTGGTATTCTTTTTTATGTTTTGAGACAGGGTCTTGCTATGTAGTTCAGGTTGGCCTTGAACTCATTATGTAGCCCAGGCTGGCCTGAAACTCATAGCAATCCTTGTCTCAGTCTCCTGAGTGCTGGGAGTCCAGTGGGTACAAGGCCCAATTTAGAATTCGTGCTAACTCTTTTTTTTTTTTTTGGTACTGGGGATAGAACTTGGGTCCTTGAGCTTGTGAGGCAGGCGGTGGAAACACTGAGCTAAATCCCCAGCCCTCGTGTTAACTCTTATTTAAATGTTTGGTAGAATTTACAAAGTAGAATTACATCTGGTACTGAACCTGGGGCTTTGTGGGAAGTTTAAAAATTACTAATTTGATCTCTTGTAGATCTATTCAGATTTTCTCATATCTTCCTGAGTCAGTGTTAATGGTTTATATTTTTCTAGGCATTTATAAAATCTCATCCAAATTGAGGTGGGGATATAACCCAGTGGTAAAGTGTTTGTATAGCATGAGTGAGGCCCTGCTTTGATTCCCAGCACCAAAAAAATTTTTTCATCTAAGTTATCTAATTTGCTGGCAAGTATGCAATACAATAGTATTGTTCACAATGTCTCTTTATGTTTTTTTTTTCTCTTGTGAGGTCATTGACAATGTATAATTTTTCATTCCTGGTTTTAATAATCTTTTTTTTTCTTTTTGATTTTTTGAGACAGGATTTCACTATGCAGTCCAGGCTGGCCTCAAACTTGCAGCAATCCTCCTGCCTCAGCCTCTCAAGTGCTGGGATTACAGGCCTGTCCACCATGCCCAGTTTATTTTAATAATCTGAGTCTTCTCTGTCTTTCTAAATTTTTGGATCAGTCTAGGTAAGGTTTGTCAATTTTATTGATCCTTTCAAAAAAATAAATTTGGGTTTTATTAATTTTACTCTAATTTTCATTACCTTTTTTGGTTGCTTTTCATTTCATTTGTTCTACTTTTTAAGTGTATTCACATGTAAGTTGTTGATTTGACCTTTTCTTCCTCTTCCTCGCTCCCCACTTCTTCTTTTGAGACAGGACCTCACTACGTAGTCCAGGCAGGTCTCAAACTCATGATCCTCCTGTCTCAGACTCCCTTTTTTATTGTTGTTGTTGGTTTTTTTAGATAGTCTTCTTATGTAGTTAAGGCTGGCTTTGAACTCACTATGGAGCCCAGGCTGACTCGAACTCATGATCCTCCTGCCTTCTGGGTGCTGGGACTGTAGGCAGGTGCCACCAGGCCCGGCCTATTTTCTTTTTTAATGTAAGTGTTTACAGCTATAAATTTCCCTCTAAGCGCTTTTTTTTTTTTTTTTTTTGAGGTACTGGAGACTGAACCCAGGGACTTTGCACTGAGCTACATTCCCAGCTCTTTTAATTAATTCATTTTTATTTTTATTTTGCAGTACTGGGAATTGAACCCAGAGCCTGAGTGCCAAGCTACATCCCAGCCCTTTTTATTTATTTATTTTTTTGTACTGGGGATCAAACTTGGGACCTTGCGCTTGCAAGGCAGGCGGCAGAACCACTGAGCTAACTCACCGGCCCTTATTTATTTTTTAAAATTTTGAGACAGGTTCTCACTAAGTTACTAAATTCTCTGGTCTGGGCTCAAATTCAAGATCTTCCTGCCTCTGCTTCTCAAGAGTCCTAGGATTATGAGTGTGTACCACCATGCCTCAATTCTAAGAACTGATTTTTCTCTATCCCATAAGTTTTAGTACACTGCATCTATTTTTTTAAATTTCTAATTTTCCATATGATGTCTTTCTTGACCCATTATTTTTGTTATTGTTTTTTTTCAGTGTGTTGTGTTGCTTAATTTCCACATACTCATTTCCCAAATTTCTTGTTGCTGATTTCTAATTTCATCCCACTGTAATCAGAAAACATACTTTGTTTCAAATTTATGGAGACTTGCTTCATAGCTTAGATATGGTCTATCCTGGGGCACGTTCCATGTGTACTTGAGAAGAAATAAATTCTCCTGCTGTTGGTGGCTTCCTTCTTGCTCTCCCTTGCTCAATCACATTAGGGGTGTGAGCTGCCATGTTTGAGGACTCCCAAGCAGCCCTAAGAACAGGCCCACGTAGGGCTGAGGATTTAGCTCAGTGTTTCTGCTGCCTGCTGCGCAAGAGCAAGGTCCCAAGTTCGATCCCCGGTACGAAAAAAAAGAACAGGCCCACGTGTGAGGACCTGAGCCCTACAGCTCACAGCATGAGTTTGAGTCACCCTGGAAGTGGACCTCTGGTCCCACTGGAGCCTTCAGATTGATGGCTAAGGCCCTGGGGGCATTCTTTCTTCAACCTCATAAGAGACCCCAAGTCAGAACCACACAGCCCAACCACTCCTGCCATTCTGACCCAGAATAACTGTGAGAATTACTAAGTTTGAGGGTGATTAGGTAACTAATACAATTACCCACAAATCTGCTGGCTTTCAGAACAAGTCTCGATGCACAGTTGAACTTCAGGCAGAAGCTTTATCTTTTCTGGGAAAAAAAATTGAAAACAGGAATTAAGAATTCTTTTGGGCCGGGGATTTAGCTCAGTGGTTCCACTGCCTGCCTAGCAAGTACAAGGTCCCGAGTTCGATCCCCAGTACCAAAAAAAAAAAAGGAATTCTTCTTTTGGTAGACCACTTTCCAATAATTTGCCAAAATGATGAAGATAAAGGCAAAAAGGGGAGGATCCCAGTGTATGTCCTCTAGGCCCTTTATTTTTTAATTTTATTTATTTATTTTTTAAGGCCCTTTAGAAAACATGGTGTTGTTCCTTTGGTCATATATATGTGAATCACCAAAAGGGTGATATTGTAGACATCAAGGGAATGGGTTCTGTTGAGAATGAAAAATGAAAACTCCAGAGACATTACTATGGTAAAACTGAAACCACCAAGGTTGGTTTTCTTTGGGGGAGGGGTTGGCCTTTTGTTTTGTTTTGTTTGCTTGAGACAGGTTCTCACTTACGTAGTTCAGACTGGCCTTGAACTCACTATGTAACCCTGGCTGGCCTCAAACTCAGTGACCTTCCTGCCTCAGGCTCCTGAGTGCTGGGAATATAGAAGTGCACTCTTATGCTTGGCTTTTATGTGTGTGTGTGTGTATGCGTGTATGTGCACCCCCTAAGCCCAGGGAAGTAAATACTTAGAGGAGGTTCTCATTGTACTCAGTTAGTTGTGTCGTTTTTTTTCTCTTCTGATTCAGTATTTTTCTTGCTAAAAGATGTGAAGTGACTTATTGTATAACAAATATTTACCCTACTGGTTAGAAAATGGTCAACTATGAAATATTTATATTGGCTTGAAGGAAGTCTTTCTAAGTCACCAAGGAAAAAAGATGTATGAAAATATATAGAAGAAAAAAAAATACAGAAGGCAACCTATGGCATTACAGTTAAGCTAGGAAGAACTCATCACTTGGAAATACATTATAGCTAGATTTTAAGGATCAGGAATTTGCTTTTAAAGCCCTGTACTTTTTTTTTTTGGTACCGGGGATCAAACTCGGGTCCTTGCGCTTGTGAGGCAGGCAGCGGAACCACTGAGCTAAATCCTGGCCCTAAAGCCCTCTACTTAAAAATAAATCGTTTAAAGCACACATATGCACAGAAACACACACACACACAAACACACACATTTTCTTGAAGAAGCTGACTCAGCCAGTGACACACCTTGTTAGAGATGCCCCTAACATAAACAGGCAGAGAAGCTGATTGGGGGAATCACTGGGAGTTCTAGTTTTCTAACACCCTAAACTACCTATGCCAGGTAAAATAAGCTACTTGAGATCCTAAGAATCAGTCTTCAGCCCCTGTCATCAAGAATTGGGGATCAACTCAATGTCAAAGAAGGGATGCCATCACTGTGCCAATGCCCCCTGTGACTTTCACTTCTTGGCTAAGCCAGACTGTGTCTTTGGAAATTTATGTTTTTAAAGGGGAAATCAAATATCTCTTGGTTCTTTTATACACCTTGGATTCATTCCTATTTTGCATGACAGGGCCCCTTAATGTTCACAAGAATTAACAAGAAACATGCTTCTACAGGCCGATTTTACATTTATTTATGTAAAAGGAACTATCTTCAAATCAATAAAACTAATTATTTGCAAACTTGATGTATATGAGTAGGCGCGTGTGTGTGCACACACATTGCACAAACATTAGCACGTCCTTCTGGAGTAGTCTCTATTTTTCAGCATATTTTCATGAGACAACAACTTGGGAAAAATTAAGATGTCTGCAAATAAAAGCAAGGAGAGGAACAGTAGTTGGAATGGAAGCTATTTTTAAGGACAGGAGAAATGTGGGTGTGGTTTCAGGTCAAGGAGAAGCAGCCAGTACAGAGGACAGGGGAATGTTCTTAAACAGCAGAAGGTTCAGGTTAAGGCTCCTCGGGCATCAGTTCTGGGTTGGCAGACACTAAGACACCCACAGCTCTCGTGTCCCCAGCCTCTGACACCCACCCTGCCTGTGTGTACCTGGATTCTCCTGCTGGGCCAAGTTGGGGAGCCGCTCTCGCTGCCGCAGGGCCTCTAGGCTGGCCAGGTCAGGCTGGTGGCAGTGGCTGCGCATCACCATCACGCGCCGGCCCTGGGTGATGGCACGGCTGCGGCAGCCCAGCCGGGCCTGGTCCCGGCACATCCAGTATACCTTCTCACCAGCAGCCTTCTCCTTCCGGTAGAGGAAGGACTCGTACACCAGGAATCTGCCACCAAGGGATGTCCTCAGGAACTCCAGGGGCTGCTGGGGCTCTGGAGGGCAAAGTGATGCAGTGAGGGGAGGACTGGAGCCCAGGCCTTGGTGTACCAGTAACGGTGGCCTTTGTCCCCTCAGCCACAATTTCCCCACTCTGGTCCCTGCTCCTACCCTCATACTTCCCCCTCCGGGCCCTATTGACAGAAGCCTCCACCCCACACTGTGGCACCCTCTACTGCAGATGGGCTTCCTTCAGCAAGGGCTCCAATGTGGCCTGCAGAGGCTGGTCTGCAGCCAACTCTGAGCTCTGCTCTCACCATTTGGACTCCATGCCTGCCAGTGGTCCCCCAGGGGAGAGGCTGGGCCCCCAGAAGTCTGACCTGGTTTGTGGACCACAGACCTCCCAGCTCCCTGTCTACCCACTCTGAGGGGCAGCTGGCAATCAACTGGACTCAGGCTTTAAAGAAGCTGCAATGAAGCTGGGTGTGGTGGCAGCATGCCTGTAATCCCAGCATTCTGGGAGACTGGAGGAGGAGGAGTGCAAGTTGGAGCTCAGCCTAGGCAACTGAGCGACTTAGAGAGACTGTCTCAAAAAGTAAAACAATAAAAAGGGTTAGCGATGTAGTTCAGTGCAAAGGCCATAGGTTCAATCCCAGCGCCATAAAAAATTAAAAGTAAAAATGAAAGAAGCAGCTGAACTGTAGGTCAGGTCATGGTGGGAGTGGGGTGCCAGAGAGAACAACATGAGAACAGAAGTAGGGGACAGCCCAGGGGGAGGGAGAGAAGACAGACAGACCCATCGGGGACAGAGGCTCTCCAAGGTCCAGGTCCTATTAACTGGTACCGTGGATCTCCTGTGGCTGCCAATAATGCCACTCCGTGCCCTTGTGCCCTTTTGTCTACTGGTCTGAGCTGGTTTATCCCACCAATGGCCACCCCAGACCAGCACCAGTGTCGTGAATGACAGCTGCTGCCTTGGAGTCCACACCCTGGAGGGATCCAGGGCCCAGGGCCTGTGTCACCCATCGTACCTGGGCCTTCCCACTGGGCCAGGTTGGGAAGGTGCTCCCGCTGTCGCAGGGCCTCTAGGCCACCCAGGTCAGGCGGGTGGCAGTGCCTACGCATGACCATCACACGCTGGCCTTGTGTGATGGCACGGCTTCGGCAGCCCATGCGTGCCTGGTCTCGGCAGGTCCAGTACACCTTGTCACCAGTGGCCTTCTCCCGCCTGTACAGGAAGGACTCGTACACCAGAAAGCTGCCTCCAAGTGGGGTTCGTATGAACTCGGGACCTCCTGTAGAGATAAGGGTAGATGATCAGAGAGGGCGAGCTGGAAGGCCAGGCCTTGGGAGGGGAACAGTAGGGGACACCTCCATTCTCGAGCTGAGAGCAGGCTGGCCCACACCTCAAGCCTTGTACTCCTTGCTCACAGTAAGGAGGCCCTAGGGACCAGGACACAGACCCTAACTCCCTTTCCCGAGGCTCAGGACTGGCTGAGCAAGGACCCTGCAGGCAGAGTTGACCACAGTGGGTCATGGAGCCCACACAAGGCAGCCTTGCTGGGCAGAGGTGTGAGTTGAAGAAGCAAGCAGAGTGGCACTGCCCTCTGGGATGTGCTGAGTGGGGACTGGGATGGCCACACTCTGCTGCCCAGAGCACCCTCTGTGCAGAGCAGGGGCCACACAGCAGTGGCTGGAGACAGGCAGGAAGTCATCAAATAACATCAAGAGCTAGTGAAGTGAGAAATCCCTCAAGGGGGATGTTCTACAGAACCACCTAGAGAGGCAGGGAAGATGGAGCAGGTGGGATCCAAGGGGGCAGCTGGGAGGCAGGACACCTGCAGAATACAGGGGCACAGGGCCACAGGGGCCTGGGGATACAGGGACAGCCAGCCAGGAAGAAGTGGGGACAGGAGATTGAGAGGAACAAGGTACATGACCATGGAGGTAAGATTCCCCGCCTTCCATACTGGATTCAAAGGCCTGTTTGGGGATAAAAAAGATGCAGCCCACAAAGCCATAGATTCGGAGAGGATGGGACAGTGGGTCAGAGATGCCAAAAGAATGAGAGGTAGCCAGATAGGTGGCTCACAGACATGGCAAACAGAACTCAGCCAAACCTGGCAGGGAAGCAGCTGAGAGGACAGGAACCAGAGGCAGCAGGTTCAAAAAGGTGGGACCTGGCACAGACCTCGAATAGGAGGCTGGAGGATGAAGGGCAAGGAGATAGGTGAATGGCCTGGCAAGGACAGGGGCAGAGGGGACACTGAGGCACAAGGAGGAAGTGGAAGTTGTCTTGAAGGCTACGCTGGTAGCCATGCTTACAAGGGCTAACCATGTGTGTTTAAATAAAAATACATTAATACACTAAAAGACACATTGCCATCAGTCATCCTCAAAACAACCCCCCTCACTTTGCTTTTTTGTTTTTGTTTTTTTAAGATAGGGTCTCAATATGTAGTTTAGGCTGGACTTGAACTCAGTACATAGCCCAGGCTGGCCTCAAACTTGCAGTGATCCTCCTGCCTCAGCCTCCCAAATTCTGGGATTACAGGTGTGCACCACCATGCCTAGCTTCCCTTCACTTTGAACACACTTATCCCAACATTCAAGCTGAGTGTGATGGTGCATGACACTCATCTAATCACTTGGGAGGCTGAGGAAGGAGGATCACCTTGAGTTCAAGGCCAGCCTGCATTATACAGCAAGACTTTGTCTCAAAAAAATAAGCCTGCCTCCAACAAATACAAAAAAACTAAAAAAAGCAGGGACTTATCCCATCTCTCTTGCCACTCACTGAAGCAGTTCTGGAAGTCTTCTTTTTTGAGTGTCTTTACAAAGTGTGATCAAAAATATGATGAATGCTGTTGCCTACTGCCATCCAACAGAAAGACAGGCTCATAAAAACATCCACCTTATTTACTGGATCTGGTATCACCCAACTTCCTGCTCTTCCCCAAAGTCAAAATTACCATGAAAGGTAACATTTGTTGAGTCAATTCAGGACACAGAGGCAGCCATAACAACACAACTAAAGTCACTCAGGAATCAGGACTTCCAGCACTGCTTCAGGAAGTAGCAAGAACTATGGATAAGTATGTTCAAAACAAGGGGAGTATTTTGAGGGGGATTAATGGTAATGTATCTTTTACTGTAATAAAATTTTTAAAATGTGAATGTTGATTATATTTGGTAATCACACCTTGTATGTGTCCCAGGCAGGAGGTCCAGCCTGACAAACCACAGAGGCTAGGCCTGGGGTCCCACATGAGAAATAAAGCCCCAGTCAACACCTGTGCCCTAAACCAGTCAGCATCTGCCTTCAAAATAAGCAGACCAAGAGGGTCCTCACCCACTTGAGAGAATCTGCATCCTGAGAGACAGAGACCAGGACAGGAAGATTGGGACAGGGTACTTAGTGAAGCCAGCTGCTGTCATAGCAGGAGAGAGGGGCCACCATGCTACTGACACCAGGTGGAACAAAAAGGAGACATTCAACCATCGAGAGCAAAAGCTTTAAAACTTAAATGGGAGGACTAAAAAACAAAGCTGAGAAAAATCTCTGACAGCACTGTAAACATGATCACAGTCACCCAGAAGAATCATCAGGGTTACAGGAGCCACAAAAAGACACGGGTGAGGACATTATGGAGTGATGCAAAAAGATATTCTGTGCTGAAGGGCACAAGCTAAGCAGTGACCTCCATAGCCGGCACTCCAAGGGTGGACAGGTGGGCCCACAGCCCTGAGCAGCGCCTGATCACACACAGGGTCAGCCACACTGTCCCAGAACAGGCTGAGCTGCCCTGGAGGGATGCCTGGTGCAGCTCCAGACAGGAAGGGTTGAAAGTGGTCCCTCCCAGGTCCATGGTTCAGGAGGGACCTCCTCAACCTCAAGACAAAAGGGAATCAAGAAAAAGAAAGGCCCAGAGGCAGGGAGTTTGGTGGAGCCCTTGGAGTGGTGGCTGGGCCTCACCCAGGCCCAGGCCAGGCTGTAGCAGGAACCAGAAGGCTGCCACCAGCAAGACCAGGAGCTGTTTTGATGTGACTGAGTGAGAAGGAAGGAAGCACCAACAGGTCCCCAGAAAATGAGGCAACAAAGTGGCTGCTGGACCACAGAGAAAACAAAGAGCTGTGTAGAGAAGGAAATGGAACTTCCTTCCAAGCAGTATATTCTCAGCAAGACAGTGACAGATTTCTGTGATAAAGTGAATCTGTGCAGCAGATGCGAGGCTAATCCTTACTTTCTCTAGTTAAAATTCAACAGCCAACAAAGAAATTGAAAAACCAGTTAATAGCTATAGAAACACATTTTTAAACTGGGTATGGGGGAAGACACCTGTAATCCCAGCACTCTGGGAGGGTGAGGCAGGAGGATTGCTAATTCAAGCCCAACCTAGGCAATTTAGCAAGACCTTGCCTCAAAATAAAAATTGTTTAAAAAGGGCAGTGGGGATGCAGTGGATGTAGCTCAGTGCAAAGGCCCTGGGAAAGACAGACAGAGAGAGAGGGAGAGAGGGAGAGAGGGAGAGAGGGAGAGAG